TGTAAGTAAAATACTCACCAATAAGTGCGTTTCGAATTTGTAGTCTTTTGTTTAATTCATCAATTGTGTTCGCTTTTGCTACACAACAGGCCATTTACACTAGTTACCATATATTCTACAGCCTGTTGGCGGTATGTTAAAAACGTATACAGACATTTGCTGAAAACGTACACACGTGTTCGCGTTCTGTAACTTCTTATTAAACTACCAAATATTACTGATAATGTTACAAGTTTCTTAATGTGGCTTTAAAGCCACCAGCACTTGGCGCACCCGGTCTCCCAGTGTGGGTTTTTATGAATTAGCAGATTCGCAGTCTTCGGTGGTCATTACGGTTTTGCCTAATTGCAGTGTGATAAGAGCATGTACCCTAGATTTGTACTTACGTCTTAATTTCTTTTAGGACCCCGTCAGCTGCAGGTACTTCAAGGATTTGTCTTATTATGCATCACTGATATTAGATAAACGAGGGACTGCTTTAAGCACCGCATAAGCTTTCATGCCATAAACAGTTGATCGGTATCCTCTAGCAGTTTTCAGTTGTACGTTTTTATGGCCGTTGCTTATTCACCAACCTTCACGCTCGCCCTTTTTTAGTCACCATGTACCCGTGCCCTTTTAAAATGTTCTACTTGAGGGACTGAAGTACCCAGGATTGGCAGCTTGTCTTAACATTGAAATGCCAAACGCTGGCTCCTTGAACACTCTTTCCTAATTCGTACATAGGACTTTTTTGGAAAAATGTCAACATCTGACGTGTCTATTAATCCGTTCTGACCGTCAATGTAGAATGGTTATTTTCCTTTAGTGTACCCTTCCTTCTGCCGCAAACCCTTTATTCGGGAAAGTCCGAAAATCAAAGATTGATCAGTGATCACACTAAATTTCCAGGGTTGCATAATTGTTCCAAAAAATCGCTCATTAGGTTTTCCTGTTGTGTTTGATAAAGATATGTTTCCTTATTTGAACTTCTGAATGTGTAAATGCAGAATGGCCGTACATCAAACATAAACCGTGACAGCATGTCTATAAAACTGGCGATTTGAATTTGCCATCTAATATAACTGTTGTTTTCTTTGAAATATCTGAGAAACCTGTGTATTTTTGCAATAGTCATCATGTTGATTAAATGTTCTGAGGC